GGGGGGCGTCTAGAGCAGAGTTAATTATAGCCATTCAACTCACCCAGATGTACTTAAGGATCTGTCAGCATCCCCATTAGGAAATGCTGTTTTTCAGGGGGTTATAACTCAACCATATAAATTGGCCACAGGCTGAGGTTTGACATCCAAGTTTGCAGTTTGGGAATTCATTTTTAATTGATTTGAATATTTTTTGAGGTATAGACATGGGGGAAAATGGATTTGGCAATTTCAGATTTGTGCAGGCCTGAGTACACAGGCCTTTTTTGCAGAGAACTGGTCATCAGTAATCTGTAATAAACTATTCCTTTCTGCCATCTCTGACCCTCTCTAGAAATGTGGTGGGGGAATTTTTTTCAATATAAGGATTTTATACCAAAGGGTTCCAAGTCCCTTACTTATCTCTAATATCTGTTTCTAAGTTTCCCATAAAATAAGTATGATTAATCTCTTAAAGGATGAGGGTTTTTTTCTATTCATGTTAACATGTTTTAAAATACTCCCTTCTCATTATGGGTGGCTTGCGTACCCCTGGCAGATAGCAGCTTTGCTCTCCCTTGCCTGAAACCTGATCATTAAACCAACTTCACTATTATGAGATATCTCGCTTCAAAATGCATTTTATTCCCTAAGAATATGCCATATTAGTGAGAAAATTACTCCAAATGGGAACGAAACTGACAACTGTTGCTTGCAGACTAATGGTCTACTGTATATATTGTACCCAAAAAGCATGTCATCACCTGCCTGTTTAGTATATCACCAGTCTGAGGATTCTGGTTGACTGAAATGGTATATTAAGGTTGCAGTAAAGATTGGGGGAGGGAGGGTTGAGACAGAGGATTTGGATTTTTTTCTTTTTTGTTCTCTTTCTTTTTTGCTTAAAACCAACATACTGAGGAGCACTGTAACTCAAAATCTATGTAAGCCCAATACAGCTACTTTGTAAAGAGAGCTGTCAGCAGGTAGAAATACATCCTATTCTTGCCTCTATATAGAATTCTTCTGTAGCCATTTAATGTAAAATCACATTATGTAAGTAGGGATACATTTTCTCACCTACTGGGTAGTTGTTCAACTCAACCTACTTAGGGATTTGGGGGCCACCACAGATACACACAGACAACACAAGATGTCGTCTCAATGACTTCCTTTCAAAAGAGAAAAAAAATTTATCACTGTATTATCCAGAGAGAGCAGTCAGTGGGAAGGGGGGAAGGAGAGGGGGGAGAGGAATGGACCCTAAGAAGTCCACAAGATCAAAATATGAATGCTATAATGAGGACAAATTACGTTTGTTTCATTTCCAATCCTTGTTACTATCTTCCTCATGATAATAGATTCAGATTTTGTGCCATTTTCTGTTCTTATTAAGGGGAAAGTGGTATCAATTTTAATGCCTCATCTGTAAAGTAAAAAGCACACCCGCTAATAGAATGCATTTTCCATCCACTGACCAAACATTGGGAAAGTCTTTCAGCTGACTGGCAGCGCATTGGAATAAAGGGCCCTCCTCTCCCTGCCTGTATCCTAATGGAGGCTTTGGAAAGGTTGGTGCCCAAACAATACCAACCACTAGAACTTTATTCCTTTTTTAACTTCTTCAGATCTACTAATTCAGACATAATTTCCTACCATTTTTTATTATAGCATAATTCATTTACTTAGGTATTTTTTTTTAATAAAGTCATTTGGATTAGTATCTCTCTAGCTCCGGACACACAGCAAAGAGCATAGATATTTGGCTCCACGATGCATATTAACCTAAAGGATACAGGCTCACAAGCCTTTGTAATCTGAAACAGCTACACATTAAATTAAAAAGACAGCTAAGTAAGCAGGGCATAAAGGTTACTGAGTACATGATTAAGCCCCCTCAGATTGGAAGCAGAGGGAAGAAGACAGCTGAACCAGCTACAAAACCCAAGCCTTTACATAGCTCCAAAAAATCCCAGATCATCCTTTGCTTCCACGAACACAGCATTTCTCCTGCTGTCTTCACCCTCAGAGAACTCCTGCTGCCAGCACCAGGCATCCTAACAACCCAACTCAGAAATCAGATCCTGGAAATGTCATCTCAGTTCCTTCCCCTCCAGCCATGGAAGAGAAATATTTTTCTCCTTTCTATTTTTTGAGCCTAGATTTCCAGATAACATCTTAAGGGAGCCCATATGAATCTGCATGGCCAACGGCAAGATGGAGGAGCAGTCCAAATAATCGCTGTAGGACTCTTGGAATACTACCAATCTGCTGTTTACTTAAGTGTCAATTAGCTAATATTTATGAAGCACCTGTTTGCTGTGCACCCAGCCCTCTTCTAGGCGCTGCAAGAGATAACAAGATGGATAAGATGAGGTTCTTGCCTTTAAGGAATTTTCAAACTAGTTGTAGAGACAAGCACACGAAAAGATAATTACCGATAGAAGGCAGTACAGTATTTCAGGCATCTCTGACATGTTCTAGCTAAGAGGGACCTTAAAGACAAAATTCAAAATAATTCAAATTCAAACATTCACTTTACATATGAGGCAAGTGGGGTGCTCAAAGAGCCTCTGGGAGCAAATACAAAGTCAGTGGGCCATTTAAAGGCCTTCCATGAAGGAATTCGGACCTACAGATCCAGATTTAGTTCCCATTATTCTACTTCACGCACTCTGTATTCCAGCCAAAACAGATGACCAGCAATTCTCTGACTATCTTGTCTCCTGCCTTCGTTCATCTGTACAAGTTGGTCCCCCCCATCTGCAATGCACCTTCTCTTTAATGATGTCTCTAATAATCCAATAATCTAATTATAAGCTACTTCTTTCTGAAGCTTTCCCTGATTTTTCCCAGCCTCCATTGACTCTATCCCTCCTCAAATTACTTTGTATTTGCTTAGTATCACAGAAGGAGACCCCAAAGGGACCTTAGAAGCCATGTAGTTCAACCCTTGCATTTTACAGATGAGGAAATTCTGGCCCAGAGATGTCAAGTGATTTTCTCAAGGTCACACAGCAAATGGCAGAGCCCGGATTTCAACCGAAGTTCACAGACTTCAAATTATACATTCTTTGCATTGTACACACTAATCTGTGCACATGTTATAAACACCACCCCTCCCAGCAAAAGATAGTTCTTTGTCTTTAGTACAGTACCTTTCACTTAGCAAATGGTTATTGAATTGAATTGAGTGCCCTCTGAAAGACACTCATCCGATTCATGACAGAAAAAGGACTAGAGTTCAGGTCTTCCTAACTCTCCCTCCTGTGCAGAGTCAGGCATAAGGTACTAGACTTGGGGTCTAGAAGATCTAGGTTCAAATCTTGTCTAAGGCACTCACTGATCACCTGATCCTGAGCAAATCACTCCTCTTCACTGGGACTCAGTTTCTTCATCTGTAAAATGAAGGTGCTGGACTTAATGGGTCCCTCCCACTGTCAATCTGTCACTCTATGACTTTCTATCATGATTCGCCAGCTATCATGTAATGGGGAGCTGTTGAGTGGGCATTAGCAAGTTTGGCTGATTCCGTCCCTACTGTGTACAAGAGGAATGACAGTGTGTAATTATGGAAGGACCTCACAGAGATGTGAAGCATGTGTAGGCATTTTGTCACTGGTTCCAATCTGCTGGCCCTGCGAGGAGGAGAAGCCTGTCTACATGGCTGCAGAACTGGGGTGAATTCAAAAGGCCCAAGTCAGCCAGAGCCATTCCTTTGGGTACTCTATGCGTGTGGCACCTAACTGTCTACGTTAGGGTAGGAGAAAAGAACGCTGTGAAGGGAGAAACCTCTGGTCCTCTCTACCCAACACCCACACAAATATGGGCCTCGGTTTTTGCACTGATATTCATGCTTTCCTATTTAAGGTGAAAGATATTTGAAATGGCTTTGACCTTGTAAGCAATGAAAGGTCAAGAGATTGAGCCACCAGAAGGTCTAGAAACAGAACCCATACCCGTGGTTTTTAAGCCAGCCGGTCGCACATTGAAGCTCTGAGGAAAGAGAGAGGGAGGAAGTAACTGCCAGGCACTATGCTAAGCACTTTACAAAGACTATCTCATTTAATCTTCACAACAACTGTATGTGGGGGGTGAGGGTAGATGCTATTATCATCCCCATTTTACAGAGGAGGAAACTGAGGCAAACAGAAGTTAAGTGACTTGCCCAGAGTCACACAGCTAGCAATATTTAAGGCTGGATCTGAACTCTGGTTTTTCTAACTCCTGGCTCAGTGCTTTATCCACTTCACCTCTTGGCTTCCTCTAAAAGTTGCCAAGAAGGAACAGCCTTAGTGATTTAATCCAGCTATAGCTGATGAGCCTTGGAGTCATCCAGAAGGTATGCTACATTTGGACAAGAATCTGTTGAAACCAATGATATGTAGAAATTATGTTAAGTCTAAGTCACTTGGCCCCAGAAATCAAAGGAGTATAGGGGAGAATGTGCCCCCCAGGTATTGGGGGCTTAATGTTTGCAGTTCTATCCTTGCATGTCTATGAAGTAAATATCTCTGTGTAAAATTTAACAAGAAACTCTTCTTAAATTTTCATTGAAATTGAACTTGGAATCAGGAAGGGCTGGGTTCAAATTCCACCTCTGATTACAGATAAGCTCTGTAATTATGGACAAATCATTTGTCCTCAGTTTCCTCATCCATATAACCAGGGGATTGGACCAGATGGGCTCAGAGGTCCCTCCCAGCTCTATATCTCTGATTTTATAAAAAGCAATTTTGCCAACCAAAATGGAAATGAAGGGTCTTGCGCTTATCCCTAACAAATAAAGAAAACGAGCAGTGAATGATACAAGCTTAATAGCATGTCTTTGAGCTATTGTTGGGAGAGGTGTGTGCTTATTAAGACTCTGATATTTTAGAGAAATAACACTGTAACAATATAGGGGCAGAGCCTACAGGAGGGTAAAATAGAAGATATTTTAAAATAATAATTTTTTCGAATGCATCATTTTTAATCCCATAAAATTACAGTCTCCATGGTCTACAGGTTTTTATTCTTTCAAAAAAATTGAATGCTTCACAAATTTGCATGGCATCTTTGCACAGGGGCCATGCTAATCTTCTCTGTATCATTCCAATTTTAGTATTTGTGCATCTGAAGTGAGCATCACTGGTTTTTATTCTGTGATAAGTCCTACATGTTCCAGGGAAGGCTCAAAGTCTCCAGTAGTGCACAGAAAGGACCATTTTCAAACTTTACAGTGGATACATAAATGTCTTGACCAAGATCTGCAGTCAGAGTTCAAGAACCAGCATCAAAGATCGTATGTATAAACAGCATCAAACCAATCATGATATGATCAATTCTAAAGGATTACTGAACCCATACCGTAAAATACTATTTTGCCACAATGGATAAGAAAAGAGATGTTCTTGTGAATTTCATATTCTAGTGAATTTAATATATCTAATCATTAAACTCCATGGATAATGAAAGGGTAAAGCACAGGGAACAGGAAACTTGTTAGGGAATAATCAGAGAGGAGGAGTCATGGAGGAGAGGCTCAGGAAATGAAAAATAGATGATAAAAATAAGGGAGTCCCAGAGAGATGAAGGACTTACTAAGAAGGGAAAAACAAAAACAAAACATACAATTAAATAGCAAAAAGCATCAGGCTTTTATAAAATGTTATAGTTCTTTGATTTGTTGGTCCCCAGAAAGGAGTAATTCTTTGAATTTGACACAAGGCACATCAGAAAGATTGAGGTTGATAAGTCCCAGACCATTAAGCTTGGAGTCATTTGCATGATTGTGTCCACCCATCCGTCATGCTTTAGAGATTACAAGTGAGAGAGATACCTTACCGGTTATCCTTTAGATCAAAAACTTGAGCCAATGACTATTTTATTTATAACAATATCACCTTTCTCCTCTCTTAGGTCATAGGGCAAGGTTACTGCCCTGGGGAGGGGAAGGGGGATGGGGTGCAAATCACCTTCAACCAACAAGAAAGCATGTGATGCTTTTACTCTCTCCAAACTCTTACCCATCAGGTAATCAATCAATCAATCACAGACTTCAATGTAATGCTTGAATTCCACCTATTTGGGAATCTATATGGGAAAAAAAAGGCTACAGTCGGTTTAGGAAAAAAATGAGAAAACATTATGGAAATGCCCATCATTTAATTGCTATGGGTTCTCAGGCACAATCCAGTTTTAAATCTGCACTCTGTAATTCGTGTTTCCAACTATTTATGCCCGTGTCCAAATAAACCCTAAAATCCATCATCAAGGATGCCATTGTGCTGAGTCATCACCTCCGCCTACGCTAGCACTGAACTCTTGAACTGCACAGTGTATTGATTAGTGCTTACAATTGGGTAATTGTATTTACCAACAGAGCCCACAGTGACATCATTATTCTCCCGATTTGTTTCAGATCATTTTGCTTAAAAAATATTATCGTAGCCGTAATTACAGCAAACCAGAGTGCATTTCAGTTTGTAAGGGAGAATAGCTCAGCCTAGCAGAACTAGGCTCTCCATGGGAAAGTTTTCATCTGTAATCCACAGTATGCCAACCAGACTTAGGTCTTTCATTGAGCACTGTCAAGGCTGTCCTTATGGGCAAGCCAAGCAAATGACTCCCTGTTCAATGTATTTTACAGAGCAAGGGGAAAGGACATATTTACCAGGAATATACATGCATACATACATACACATATATCTGGTAAATATATACACTGTTAAGTAGGAGGGGGCAACCCTTATTATAAGAACTTGTCTTTATATAGGGTGTTGACAGTTATAAATTACTACACACACACACATATCTAGATCTAAATATCATCTCATTTGATCCTCACTACAACCCTCATCTGGGCAAGGAAAAGGGGGAAGGGTGCTAAGGGAAGAGCCCAGAGGTGGGAAAACACCAATGTAGGGAACTCCCAGATTGCAAATTCCCTTTACTAGCTAATGCAGATAGGCTGTGAGGCTATAATTGTTACAGTCTTAGACAGATGGCTGGGACATTAAGAAGTTAAGTGACTTACTCATCATTGTGTAGACTCAGGTCTTCCCGACTCTTGTCTTTCCAATCTCTTGTCAAGATTCACCTCTCCCTGGCTACTGATCCCCTGTACATATGTATTATCTCCCACTGTTTGAAGATAAACTCCATAAGGCCTAGGATTGGTGCATATCTGTATTTATATCCTCAGCACTCAGAACTGTGCATGGCACATTGCAAGCACTTAATAAATGTTTCAATCACTTATTCATCACCCCTCCAACATCCTCCTTGAGGAAATGGGGTATGTGGCAGACAAGTTTCAATGACTTACCAATGTTGTTGAGATGAATTGATGAAACAGTTGGTGGGGGAAAGATGGAAGCAAGAAAAGTAGGTCAGGAGCATGGGAAACTGTGAAGTTCCATAGTAGGGGAAGTCTGGGACAATGGAGAACAACATGGAGTCACTGATCAACCCAGAGGGTAACATATGGGAAAAGGGAGCACCCCCAAAAGGGGGGAGCACCAAAATACATTTCACCTACTTCACAATTTTGCCTAGGGCCGACTCTGAGTACTCAAAATTACATTGTTAGCTAGTCCTTAAAGCTTATTAGGTCATTTCAAAACATTCAGACAACTGGGGAAAAAGAAGAAATGCTTAAAGCCATCTTCCATTAAATCTAAATTATCATTGCCCTAAAAAACAGGGAGTGCAGGTGGATTGTAAGGCATTAGTGCTACTGAGGGATCGGCCCTGGTTAAATTCTCATTGCCCAGCACAAACTTGCTCTGAGTGTGAAAATCAGATTTCCACTGCCATAGCCTAGATAAATTCAGCAGGCTTGGGGGGAAGAAAGGTCTTCCTGTGATATTGCTCATGATGGGTGCTATAGCAATTGGGGGCAGTTCATGCTTCAGGCTACAGAGCAGGGTAAAACCTATACAATATGGCTTTCATTGAAGTGGCAATTAGTGGAAATTATAGAACGGGACATTGTGAAATTGTCATCATGAAAAGGATTTCCCCAAGCCAGATGCAGTCCAGTTCTCCTTAAGCCAGCCAAGAGCTAAAGAAATCTCTTTTTAAAAAATTGAATCAGCCCCTGGTCTATAGTCCCAGTTATAACAACATTGGGGAATTTGTCTACTCCCCTCCACTGGCTCATGTCCAGCTGCATTTAGGGAGGCTGTGGGGATCTACTCTGACTGTTATATCTTTGATTGACAAAACTATTCAAAAGAAAATTGCTGGTGTGACTTTATTCATGACTAAGACAATGAAAGAACTGAACTCCTCACAGATCTTTAGTCTGTTGTAAATAGTCACTCTGGTTTTAATTTTATTTGAAATAGGACATTAGAGCATTGTGTCCAGTGTGAGTCCCTAAGGAATGGGAGGGGAGAGGACCCAGAAAAAAATAATCAAAATGGTTAAAGGATTAGAAAATAGAACTCATGAAAAAAGATTAAAGATGCTAGGCTTAATTTGGGGGGAATGGAAAAACCTAGTAGTTATTTCCAAGTATTTCAAAGTATATAATAAGAAGGGTGCTGCTGACAGCACATTCTCCAACTACGTGAAGGACAAAATTCTGAGAAATGAACTTAAATTGCATCAAAAAAGAATCAGGCGAGACATAAAGAAGAACTTCCTAGCAATATGAAGAACTAAAGCATTGAATAGACTACTAAGGAAAATGGTAGAATCTCAAAATGAGCAGAGCTTTAAGAAAATATTTCTACAATATTTTTAGATGGCTTAGAAGGAGCCTGAACAATCAGTCAATAAGCATCTAATAGGTGTCTACTATGCATTAGGCACCATGTTAAGTGTTAGTGATACAAAGAAAGACATAAAACAATGTGGTACAATAGAGACATTTCTGGATTTGGAGGAAGAAGGTCTAGGTTCAAATCCTGATTCTATCACTATCTGTATGTCTTTGGATAAGTCATTTGTCATGTCAGTTTCCTCATCTAAAAATAGGAGGATGCAGCCCTGAAAGTGCTATTGCTGGGTCAAAGGGTATGCGCATTTTTATAGCCCAGTTCCAAATTGCTCTCCAGAATGGTTGGATCAGTTCACAACTCCATCATTAATGCATTGTTGTGGAGTCGTGAACTGATCCAACCATTTTGGAGAGCAATTTGGAACTATGCCCAAAGAGCTATAAAACTGTGCATACTTTGACCCAGCAATACTACTTCTAGGGCTGTATCCCAAAGAGATCATAAAAAAAGGGAAAAGGACCCACACGTACAAAAATATTTATAGCAGCTCTTTTTGTGGTAGCAAAGAATTGGAAATTGAGGGGATGCCCATCAATTGGGGAATGGCTGAACAAGTTGTGGTATATGAATATAATGGGATACTATTGTGCTAAAAGAAATGATGAGCAGGCAGGTTTCAGAAAAACCTGGAAAGAGTTACATGAACTGATGCAGAATGAAGTGAGCAGAACCAAGAAAACATTATACACAGTAATCGCACATTGTGCATGTGTGATGTGTGTGATGACTGACTTTGATAGACTTGGCTCTTCTCAGCAATGCAAGGATCTAAGACATTTCCAAAAGTCTCCTGTTGGAAAATGCCATCCACATCCAGAGAAAGAACTATGAAGTTTGAATGCATATCAAAGCATGCCTTTTGCTCTTTTTTTCTTCTGTTTTGTTTTGTTTTGTTTCTTCTTTCTTGTGGTTCCTCCTATAGCTTCTAATTCTTGTTTACAATATGACTAATGTGAAAAGATGTTTAATAATGTAAAGCCTATATCATATTGCATGCCATCTTGGGGAGGGAGGTTGGAAGGGAAGGGGAGAAAATTTAAAACTCAAAAACTTATGGAAGTGATTATTGAAAAATAAATTAATTTTAAAAATAAAAAAAAATTTTAAATGATGACAACAACAAAAAAAGAAAATTGAAGGTAAAAGGTCCTCTGTCATCTGGTCAACTCACTTTTGGAATTTTTGGAATGTCAAACAACTCCCAATGCAACCTGAGCCTGATTAAAATGTAATCAGAAAATATTTGACAAAATAAATAATAATAATAACAATAATACTATAAAACACAGATAACATTAAAAAATAAAATACAAATGAGGGAAGTAGATAACCTTTGTGGTCTCTTCCAACTGTAA